TCCCTTTCCCCTACGCTGCTCTCCAACAGGAGTTTATTATATTTAGGTGTTCTTGGCCTTCTGCCTTTGTCCTCCTTGTTACTTACAGTCTCCATGTCGGGCTATGCCTGTTACTACTATTAGGGAAACTCTGTCTTCCAGATATTTTAAAGGAAGAATGGTTTCTCTCACTCTTGCAGCTCTGTGAGCATTCCCTGGGTTCATGTGTAGCTGTGGGACGTGGCTCTGCTCGCTGCGCAGTCCTCAAATGGTCCAAAGCCTCACTGGCACATCTGCACTTGGTCCTGCTCTTATCTCTTCAGGCCGTAGCTCCTTGGTGAAATAAAGATGTGTAGATTAAGAACCACCGTGGTACACGATAGGACTTTTATATCTGTTTCATCCGTAAGGGCCTGTAATGACTGATGCCATTGGGCTGTTTGTCAGCGTTCCACACAGAGAGATCCTGAGGTTCATCTTGAATGCAGCAAGAGTTGTTTCTGGAGCTGTGTGACACTTGAAAGGTGCCACTGAGAAAGGTGAAGTCTGTCTCTTCAGATCTGGTGAAGATGGGAACTGATGCTGAAACGTTGAATGCAGTGCACAGGGAGAGGAGCCCCTTGTTGTTGAGCTATAGGAAGGAACCTTTTTTAAGCCACTAGAGGGATTTATTCGTTACTGAAGTGGTGGAGGCCTCAAGTGGATTCTGGCATTGTCCGTCCTGAGTCTTCTTGCCTTGGCCTGTCAGGACAGCCTTTTGTTAATGTGCTAAGTTGTCAGCAGCAGCCTGAAGTAAGCCTGCTATGGCTTATTCCTTACGATGCAAGAGTAAAAGCTTTTATCATTTTATTTTTTTAGGCCAATGTGATGCTTGAATATGATACTGACGAAGCTCAGGCTCTGTTAGAGAAGAATTTGTCAACAGCCACAAGAAACCTTGATCTTCTAGAGGAAGACCTGGATTTTCTTAGAGATCAGTTCACCACTACAGAAGTCAGTATCCTTTCTTCTTAATTATTTGCAGGGGAAGAGGTGTATGTGAAAGCTGGCACACGGGTAATTACCAGTTTCCTGACATTTTCATTTTAGACTGGCTTCCCTTAAAATTCTGTAGCCCTCTAGAAGCTTAACCTTTCCTAGCAATGAAACAGGACGGTGTTTCCAGCGCTGAGCTGAGGGTCGGTGTAGATGCAGCAAAGCCCGTGTTTGTGATCGAGTCCCCGTGAAACCACTGCAGTGGCGCTGACCCTGCTGGGGACTGAGCTGCCAGGGAGGGTCGGGGCTGCGGAGCGATGGCTCCACTGCAAACCAAGCGGCCCTTCCTCTCTAGAGCTCCCTCGGGCGGTGTTGTTCTTTGGGCTGTTGCTGATCTTACCCTTCAGCTGCCATGGTGGTGTTCTCCAGGCCCTGCAGCAAGCTTGGTGCTAGCTCAGGCATTGCTCAGCTTTGTTACTTCTTTATTCTCTCATGAACCTCCTCCAGGGATGTGGTTTTGGGGTTGTTTTTTTATACTTTCTACTTAAAACTCTTTTAATGACAAGGATAGCCATCAACTGAAGCATTAGGTTTAATAAAGGCTCAACTACTTGGGGTTTTTTGAAGCTGATACTTCAGATGCCTTGGTGCTGCAGGATGCCTGAAGCAGGTAAATACGGCTGAGGTGGGCAGTGACTGAACTCAGAAGAGTTGCTGTAAGTAAAACAAAGAAGTGTTTCTCCATAGTATCTTTTTGGAGGTTTTTAAGTAAATGGTGTAAAAGCTGCAGTAATGAACAGTTTCTGGTGTTCCTGTGTGTTACGGCTTTGCACCAAGCCAGCGTTTTCACTACGTGGTTTCAATGCTGACCGTCACAGGTGAAGTGTGTGTGGTGAGCTGTGTAACCTGCTGCTTTCTCTTTATTCCTCTCTTTCTTTTATTTCTCCAAATGCATGAGCTATTTCCTTAACTCCACGCCCTCAGATATGGCTAGAGTTTATAACTGGGATGTAAAGAGAAGAAACAAGCAAGACCCTTCCAAAAACAAAGCATAGTTTTGCCAATTTTAAATGTGGTTTCAATTTCCAAATATTTTTTATTTAAACACCCCCCCCCCCAAAGTTCATTCTTAAGGGACTGAGTTACTTCAAGCATTTCAGTCAGTGGTAAAATATATCAAAACTAATGGGGAGCACCATTTTATTTATTTGTAAACTCAAAATTTGGTTTCGTGCATGCTTCATGAAATGAATTATTTGAAAAGGCACCACACGGTCCAGCGAAGGACGCAGCCTTTTGATCAGACCAGTCTGTCATGAACGAATTGAAACCTGAAAGCTTGTCTGGGAAGTTGAGGGGCAGTAATGGAATGGGGCCTGACATCCTAGCAGGTTACGGTCACGCAGGGGTTTACTTTTCTTCTCTGCGTGCAGCTGATGAGGTTCAGGTTGACTTGGGTTGGGCAGACGTGCAGCTGTGGTGTTCTAGGAAACAAAACATGCCCTGAAATCTTGGCTTTTTTCTCAGTCAGTCAATTGGCAGCATCAGCCTGCGAGCACTCCTGGCTATCACTGTGGACAGAGTTGTTTTTAATGACTCTTGGGTCGGTTAACCGCCTGTCACTGAATTCTCAGCACTTCACATCCAACAGTTGGTGACTTGTCTGCAGAGAGGAACGGTCATCGAGTCAACAGCACAAGCCGTGTCCAGGCTGCAGGTGATCTCACCCTGTTCTCTCACCCCTGTGCACACACTGCTCATCTTTGCAGCTGTGCTGCACAAGGACACCAAAACGCCGCTAGCCTGTGAACACGAACCCCCTCTTTGTGATCCCTTAGACAAGATGCCCAGTTCCAGTGTCTTAACACTCTCAGCCTCCCGGGTGGTAAAACCTGTATGGAGAAGGATGGTTACTGAGGCCCCACGTCTGGTGGTCACAGTTGCAGTGTTTTTTGGTTCTAATGAAGCCTTGCAAGATCGTTGCCTTTTACCTCTGCAGTTTCTCTCTAAAATGAAATGCTCAGTGGTGATGTCAGTGGCTAACATTCACATTCTGTGACTGAGAATACAGGTTGCGCTGCAAAAATAAATGCAAATGTTAACTGTTCAATCTTCACGTAAGAAACAATATACCTGTAAATTTTTTGTACTTTTATTTCGTGATATTAAAATAGTAAAACTAAGCAGTTGTGGCAAACACCTGCTTTTGTGCATCTTTCTTTGGGTGAGAAGGTCGTGAATCTGCTGTGTGAACTTTCGTAATGTTCCCCTCCCTTAGGTGAGGGGCTGGAGGGTGAACAAACTCAGCTGCAGCAGCAGACATGAAAAGCGTAGCTGTGAATGCTGCCTTGAACCAAACGGGGAGTGAGTCAGCACGGCCGAGTTTGTGAACACAGCAGCTGATGAGGCAGCACCGTGGCTGTGGAAGAGCCAGAGCTGCGGGCACGGCCATGAAACGGGTAACTCCTTACTCCCTGGTAAGCAGCTGGGCTTGCCCGTCTGTTCCAGTGTCTCTGGCTGCAGCAGAGGAATGTTCAGCTCTGCTGTGTTATTTGACTTGCAGGTATCTGCCGGGCTGCGTGTGGGGCTGCTTCTCGCCCTTTCTTTTTAAGAGCATCAGCAATGACGGGAAAGGCAGCGGCAACACGTCCTGATTTCTCTTGCAATTTTCTCTTCAGTGTGGATCATGAGATCCCCACAGGCTAAAGCGCGCTCCCCCTCCCTGTGCCCGGGCCTACGGCAGCAGTTGCCTTTGTTGCGCACAATGAAACGGCGAGTTAAGCATTTCTGCGTGAGCAAAACAAGTCCTGTGTGCAACTGCCCGTGGCCTAATGCTGGGTACCAGGGGTGGGAGTGCTCAGAAGGTTCCAAAGGTATCTGGTCTGGGGGAAGGGAGATGGCTGTGGCCATCAAACGCTTGTTTTGTTTGATACAGAATCACAGAATATTGGGAGTCGGAAGGGACCTCGAAAGCTCCCCCACTGCAACCCCTGCCAGAGCAGGATCACCAGACCAGGTCACACAGGAACACGGCCAGGCGGGTTTTGAATGTCTGCAGAGAAGGAGACTCCACAACCTCTCTGGGCAGCCTGGGCCATGCTCTGGCACCCTCACACTGAAAAAGTTTTTCCTCATGTTCAGGTTGAACCTCCTGTGCTCCAGCTTGGGACCATTGCCCCTTGTCCTGGCATTGGACATCCCAGAGCAGAGCCTGGCTCCTTCCTCCTGACACTGCCCTTTACAAATTGATCCCCATGAATGAGGTCTCCCCTCAGTCTCCTCTGCTCCAAGCTAAAGACACCCAGCTCCCTCAGCCGCTCCTCATCAGGGAGATGCTCCACTCCCTCCATCATCTTTGTGGCTCTGCCCTGGACTCTTTCAAGCAATTCCTGTCCTTCTTGAACTGAGGGCCCAAGTAAACAAACAAGTCCCAGAACAAAATGAGGCAAGAGCTCAAGCTTTGCTGTGACTGATCCTTGTCCAGCGCTGCTCTCTGCTTTGCTGTGAAGTCTTTGTTACCTTGTGCAAGAACAGGTTTGCAGAGGCTGTTTCAGCTCCTGTGTCCTGCCTGCAGCGGAGTGAGGGGCTGAGGCTGGGCCTGGCTCCTTATGCAGGGAGCAGGGGTTTGCTCTGGGGGTTTTGCTGTGTTTCCACAGCTGCACTGGTTTTCCTCAGCAGGGTGGCTGGCTGGTTCTGACAGCGTGAGTATGGAGGGCACTGCTGCACAGAGCACCCATTCACTGGAGCCAGCCTGTGCCCAGCCCAGCTCAGTGTGGAAGTGGAGCAGGCAGGGGACTGCTCACTGATAAAGACTGGGGAGGGGGGAAGAAAAGAAAACGCACCAAGGTTTCTTTACAAGTTTTAAATTTCACATGATCACATAGTAACCGTTTTGCTAAATACAAGCTGGTTTGTTTTTTTTCAGTCACATACAGACAGCTAAATACAGCGTTATTTTCACATTTCGTTACAGTGCATAACAGAAAGCGAGGAAAGTGTAGAGTATGCTTTCATTCTGGAAGTTCTGAGCAATTTCAGTCGAACATGCAGGTTGTTTTTAACAAGTGGCAGTGCCCACAGACAGTTAGTTAGCTTTTGCTTTTTTTTTATTTAATTTTTTTTTCCTTTTTGTCCTAGAGTAAAAGAGCCCCTGACCTTTATCCTGTGAAAGGTACCACCTTCTGGTGTCTCTAAGTCCCTCTTGCGCTAGAAGTCAAAGCGTTAAAACCAGTTGTTAGAAAAGAATTCTTAGCGTATCCTAGAAGTTCTTCATCTTAGAAAAAAAACGTTCCAAATTTTGTACAGATGAATCTACATTTTCTGTATCTTAATAAGCTGTCTAGAAAATGCAAGGAATTAGAAAAAGATGTATATAATGGTTTCTCTATCATTTAATATACCCATTTCTTACCTCTAAGTAGTTAAGACTGCGTACACTGTCTTCTCTATTGCTCCTCTTTAGAGTCATGACACTTGTGTTTTTAGACTGCAGATTTACTCTGAAGGCCTGAATGCACTCACTTCTTTAGGCTTGCTGGCATTTCTCTTTGGGAGCAGCAAAGGGGAATGTCTAAAACCCATTAAATAAAATATTGGTTGTCTCATGAAAAGTAATCTCTCCCCTGCTGGCCTGGTTCCTGCACAGAGAATTACAGAATTTTAGTTGCTGAAACACCACTCGATCCAACTTGGGACTGCTCTTAATGCAGCGCTCCAGCTCCAGGCCCTCAGCCAGGCAACCCAGGACCCCTTGGGAACAGCTGGGCCCAGAACGGCCACCACTTTCCCTGCCAGAACAGAGACCCCGACCCTTTCGTACGGCTCCGTCCTTGCCGTGGTGAGCCCAGGGCTACCAGACCTGCTCCCGGCAAACCTCCTGCTCTGTGCTGGCATCAGCCGCCCAGGGCCCGGGCAGGCTCCTGGGGTGTGCTCTGCAGCAATCATCTCCAGCTCTGCTTACCCAGAAAGAGATCTCGTAAAGGCATTGGTTTGGTTTGGTTTGAATTTTCAGGGCACTAAACTCGACCACAACTGAATCTGCCTGGAATTCACTGGGCTTTAGCACAGGGCTTCTGAGACCTTTATCACCTACTAAGGGTTAGCACAGCCGAGCTCACTGAAGGGTGCTGCCCACTGCCAGCCCTCCCCTCCACTTGCCACCAGTGCCCTCCCAGCACTGCCCAGGCACAGAAATTGTTCCTACAACACAATAAAAATGTTGGTCATGCTCAAGGATTTGGTTGTTTGGGGTTGGGTTTGCTGTTTGGGGTTTGTTTTTAAGAGCTGTAACAGGGAAACCACAGGGTTTTGTATTTTTTCTTCATACAGACCTGCCCGTGTGCTGCAAACCGTGAGAACGGGTTCAAAGGAAGAAATGGTCTGAACTCGACAGCAATCGAGGCCCACGCTTTTATAGATGGCAGCTTCAAAAGCTGTAACAAGTATTTTATTCTTCTCTACTTAGAGGCCTAAAACTCAAACGCTAGATGCCTCCTGTGGTTTTCACCTAATCCCTCCCTCCTGCCCAGTAGCAGCTTGGTGTACAAAGCTTGCAAACTCCAGTTAGAAAATGTCACTATGGTTTTTTTTGCTGTTAATAGGCTGAACTTCCCTAGTCTGCTACAGGAGCACAGTTACCCTGCTGCACTTCACAAGCTTACGTTAAAACTTGGTGGAAGCAACGCTGCCAAGTGGTGAGTGGCATCCCCAGAGAACATCCACCCTCACACAGCTTCTGCGACATGGCTGCCAGTGATGACCACCCTGTCAAATTAAAACACGGAGGAAAACAAATGCTACTCTCGAGTGTGCCTTGCTGCTTTCCTTCCCACCTGCTCAGACCCTTCTGGTGTGGGCACCACCTCCCCAGCGCTAGTTCTCGTCTTCCACGGGTGCCAAGAAAGAAAATGACACTTCAACAGCAGCAAGTGCTGATGGAAGCTGTTGCTTTCCACGCCATTTAACTTCTTTAGAAGCAAATCTCACCTTTTAGGATGTCTGATGCACCTGAGTTAAGCTTTTCAAGTTTTATATCTTGTTGGGTTTGGTTCCCCCACCCCTTTCTGTTCCTCCTTGTGACACCCAAAAGGTCAGCACGACAGAAACGTTGGTGTGTCCCACCTGGGTGCAACACCCCAGCGCTAAGCTAAAACATACGTGGACGTGGCTCTCTCCTTATGCTCTTGAGCACTTCATGCTACTGGAAAGCCCTGAACTCAGGGTACTTTCCAGGTACACACCTCAGCAGTAAATGCACTGAGCAATTACTGCTGCAGCAGGAGTTGCCGCTTGGAATCCAAGTTCAGCACAGCAAGAAAAAGCACTATTGGGGTGTAGAATAATTTAAATTTTAATTACCAATCAAAGAATTGCTGTTTCCATCTTTCATTTCCACTGAATATTCTTTGCTATCGAACTAGGTGCAAGACCATAAGAAGGAAAATTCAGAAGTGTGCACACTATGTCAGTAAACTTTTCCTGTGGCGTTGGCATTACGAGGAAACGGTCTCTGCGCTGCCTTTACACCTTCCTGGGAATCAACAGCTGACACAGACTAAGAAGTCCTCTTTCTTCTGCGCTGTCTGCCCATCTGTCATCCCACTGAGGTATCCATGCTGTGGTTTCAATACCCAGCACGGAGCTGTGGGCTTCCTGAGAAGAGGACAGCCCGTCCCCGTATACGCTCTCCTGCCCCGCGCAGCCCCTCATTGCCGCTTCCTGCCTCCTCGCAACATCTACACACGCCCTCGCTCGCTCTCCGTTAGGCTTGTAGCCCCCAGTTCTGAAAGGTTATTATTTGGAACAGAACATTTCTTTCCGGGGGGTCTGTTCTGGTGTCCAAAACAACGTGGGAGGCTGTTCACAACAGGAGCGCTGCTCTCCCTTCTGTCACACCGAGTTCTCTTAGCACAGTACGGTTGTTAGTAGAGTTCATCACCACTTGCCTCACTAGAAGAGCTCAGCACAAGCATCGCCTATCTGATTTCACCACTTCTTCTGAAGAGTGCACTACGTTCGGGACAAACCCGCTCTTTACCCCTTCCCATCCCTCCTGGATTGAAATTTCCCCTCTTTTAACAAGCTCATATATATCTCGAGTCAGATCAGTGAAGGCCTTCTCCACGTTAATGGCATCCCGAGCCGAGGTCTCAATGTACTTCATACCATAAGCAGCAGCCAGTTTCTCCGCCTCATGCCTGGTGACTTGCCGCTGCGTGTCAAGGTCGCACTTGTGCCCTACCAAAACAAAGACGATCTGGTAGGGCTGGACGTGCACCTTGGTCTCCTCCAGCCACTCGTGGACGTTCTGGAAAGACCTGCGGTTTGTAATGTCAAAGAGGAGGAGTCCGCCAACCGAGTTCCTGTAGTAGGCTCTGGTGATGGACCTGGAAATGAAGAAGCCACAACAGAAGTGTAAGTTACAGCTGTCTGGGAAGAAGGGCAGAGCGAGTTTCACATGGGTTTTGTTAGTCTGTGTCTTCTGAGGATTTCTTCTTGAGCCAAATGTAGCCCTTCTGAACATACATCTTTTGTTAAGAAAGCAGCAGTCCCACCACCCTGGCTACTCTGCAGACCACAGGGCAGAGAAGGTCGTGCAGGCAATGTCTTAATGCTTTTAGCTCGTGGTCTGTAGAGCTTGTCATTCACAAAGCCAACTAATCTTGGCTTGAAGGCTGGTTAGGGTTGGAAGGGCCCTTAAAGATCATCTAGGCCTGCTCCCCTGCCATGGACCACATTGCCCTGTCCAACCTGGCCTTGAGCACTGCCAGGGAGGGGGCATGCACAGCTTCCCTGGGCAACCTGGGCCAGTGCCTCCCCACCCCCACATTTCTGTTTGCCCTTTGCTGTCAGCCTCAAGCGCCCCAGCTCTCACCACATCAGTTCTCTGAACACCCTGCCAACCCCACTGCTTTAGAAGCACTAAGGATTTATCTGAAAGCAAACACCCATTGTCTGATAGACACACAAAAGGAGGCTAAAAACAAGAACTGGAAGGCAGACTGTGGGGTTGCAGCTCCTCTCCATACACCCAGGGCCTCAGCTCAGGGACACCCACTGACCCCGGTGCCTTCTCCGCTGTGCCACAGGTCAGGATGGCAGCGGGCACGGCTACAGCTGACGCACTCACAGGAGCCACCAGTCTGACCGCCCCAGCACCAGCAAAGTGCTACAAGAGCTTCCTAGGGGAATCTGCATGACTTCTGGGCTTGTTCCTGCCAAATACTGACAATGTGAAACAGTAACCAAAAAAAGACCCCCGAATCCTGGGCTGGGAAATGCAGTGTGTCTTCCACAACTCCTGTGAGCAAGGGCAGACTTCAAGGCGGGCAGAAGCAGCACCTGAAACCAGCTAACACAGGGCGGTGGAGCGAAGCTGAGCCCCTGAGGCTGAGCAGAGCTACAGCTCGGCGACCACCGCACGTGGAAAAACCAAGACCCGGTAGAAGCGTGGTGTGCCTGCAAAGTCATGGAGTCGTTCTAAATCCAGAAGCAATGACAGATTTCAATCCCGGGAGGAATTCATACCCGGGCCTGAATTCTCCTTGCCAGGAAAACGTAGGCACTGCTGCTTTTTACCTTGGGATGAGTCCTTTTTCAGACGCACAAGACTGTGTTGCTAGGGGTTACTCGGTCCAGTAGTGTGTGTGTATATCTCGTGAAACTGCCCCAAGAAAGGATGAATCAGAGTTATCAAGGATTGCTTTATCAACAGACATGCAGTGATGGGTGAAAAATCCACAGCCAAAACTGAAGCAAGCCAGAAGAGGAGGGGGGAAAGCTAGCTGGCTGCATTTGGATAATTTCTGCTTTCCCAATTATCTGGCTGAAGGACAGCAGTAGCTCTGCACACTTGGCACTGAGGGAATATCTGCAAGCAGATACTGGCGCTTTGAGTTCACCCCCACGCTGTCACGGGCATTTCTGCTTCTCCCTTGTGTTCGGTGCGTCAGCCCTGGCTCCTCCTGACAACATCAACAGCGCCTCAGGTACTTCTAAAAGACGTGACAGGATCTAAGCTGAACGCTGCTTTGAGGTAAAAGCAGGTGAAGGTCCCAGTGCCTCTTCTTAAAGCCTTTTCCACAGACTGTTTTCCTCACCCACCCCCAGGAAGCAAACCGTATTGCCGTCACGCTGTACACGATTCACTTCCCTCCTCCTGCCACACTCACACGTGCTCGCACAGAGCAGTTCAGGTATTTGCACCTATTTTGGCCAAGATTTAACACCACGGTACTGCCTGGGAGCTCTCCCCTGCTCTGTGCCCATGGTGGGGACTCCTGCACGTGGGGTCCACGGCTCCCTGTTCAAGTCCTTCCCTCTCCACCCAGGGAGCACCGCTGGCTGGAAGGAAACCCTTCTGTAGGTGGTGGGACACGGCTTCAGGGAGCAAGGGCTGCACATGCGTTTGCTTTTGTTAGCATGACACAACATCGTTTTTCAGACACGGCAATCACAGTAGCTGACCAACCAGAGATGGGCAAAACGTGCTGGATACAGGAGGAATTGGACCCTGCTCTTCTACGGCCCCAGGCAGCACATTTTGGGGCTTGATGTGGCAAAACAGAATAGCACACGCTTAACTGTAATACAAGCCTTGACTGCCCAGAAATTGCTTCTAATTTATGAAGAGCAAAAGAGCTCACAACAGGGGTCAGGAAGAGCAGAAATGCAGCACAGCTGCCATCCAGAGAATGCCAACAAGGTGTCTTCGAAATAACTGCAGTGGTGTCTTCCTCGTGGGGCAGCTGTTAAACTACACAAAGCAGGCTGGAAACGCTCAAATCAGAGAACTCTGTGAAAAAGCGGAGCTCATTCTTACAGATTTCTCTCTTAGGCAATTCCCAAGGCTGCAACGTGCTCTGGAGAGCACCAGCCCCATTGTGCTTCTTGCCTGCGCCCACATGTTTGAGAGGCTGCAGCTTATTCCCGTAATAGCTGCACTCACCTTTTGCCATGAGAAATGGCTCGCAGGAGGAACCCACGAGCTGCTGACTTTGTGAGACACAATTTGTCGCAGGGCTAACGGTGATTTGAAAGGGATAAACACAAAACAGACTTTTTGCCCGATTTTTATTTCATACTTCAGGGTGCACCATAAAGGCATCTGGGTTTGCTCCCTTCCCTCTAGCTTTTCACATCAGGAATTTCAGGCTGCGTGTTGGCAAGGGCATTTCAAAGAAGCGCGGTACGTTTTGTTATGTCCCTCGCTCTTCCTGCCCCTACACTCTTCCTTCAAACGCTGCTGCCCATCGCAGCGGCGCAGCCTGCCCTTGCGCTGAAGGTCGCCTGCTCATCATGCTTACAACCCGAGCACCAGGCCGGGTCAACCACCAGCACTAAGGGTAAGCAGCCTCCAGGGCCCCGAACTTCCTATGCGTAAAAGAAAGGAAATTGAAGCCATCCAACAGCTTTTGCTCTTCACAGCAAAGGCAGAAGCAGGGAACGTGTTTTCTACAGACCTCAGCCCCAAAGCTGGAAGCTGATGCAACCGCAAGCTAAAGCGCCTCCTCTCTCAGCAGAATAAAGCACCAGCTCCTCGCCTCGAAAGGCTGCAAGGTAGTAGAAGAAAAACCTGCCAGTGGATAAGGACCGACTACTGCACATCCTGGCCCAGAGGCCAGCACCACAGATGCAAAGGAAGGTGGTGAGAGGGGCGAAGGAGGTTTCACCAACTGAATGAAAGCAAAACACTCCTCAGGCCAGGCACTGCAGCACGGAGGCAGGAGCTGTGTGAAGCAGGAGCTGTGTGAAGCCGGGCAGGGATGGGGAGCAAGGGAAGTGCTCCTGGAGGGAGCAGAATGAAAGAGTGGATGAGGGCCAACGACACATGAAAAATATAAGCAAACGGGGGGCAGGGAGCTGAGGGTAAACTCACACCCCTTCCAAATTGGGACTGGCTGAGCAGCACACGTCCCAAGACGACAGCAGCCCCCTGCTTAGCTGCGGCCAAGCCTGCTCCAACCAACTGCTGTCTTTCCCACACAGTTCTGGGGTAAACTCCGGGACTGGTGTCCCACATCCCGCCTTTATTTTTCCTCATCGCGTCTCCATTACCATTGCTTAACATCCCAAATCGTTTGTGGCCGCGCAGCACCCGGTGTGGCCCCGTCATCCCTGCACAGCCCCGGCCGAGGGCTTGTCCCCGCCTTTCACTGTC